CCCCAAAACCCCAAAACCCCAAAACCCCAAAACCCCAAAACCCCTTTTTATTTATCTATTATTGAATCGATATCAAAATCCTCTTAGCTCATTCCTAGTCAGTCACTTTAGAGAATTTGCTGACATCTTGGGTAGTCTTACTTAGTAGCGGTCAGCTTCTTCAGACTATATGAATAAGAGTCAGAGAGGTAAAGCTTATTACTTACATATCTTGTACATTGACCTTCTTTTTAGTATTTTTCATCTTATATTTAGACCAAAGCATCTCAAAATTATCAGGCCCTGGTGCCTCATTGTTAAGAATGAAAAGGGGGTTGGCATTAATGTCTTTGATTTGAAATCTATTAAATTTTAGGCAACTTTATAGTAACTACATACCTTAGAGCTTTATTGAAATTGCACTGCTTTCCTTGTGTAAATCCATTGTACACTAGATTTCAGTAATTCCTATTTTGGCTAATAGACTTCCTTCCTATTCTCTTCCTGAAAACATCTATGGGAGGAAATTGGGCTGGCATTAAGGTGTGGGCACTAATTTGAGTAACTGTTGAATGCTTACGTGTCCTTATTCTTCTTAATCCTTAGTCTCTGCTCTTCAAACCTATTTTCAGATACCTTTGCAAATCCTCTATTTCTCATGACGCTATTTGAGAGCGAGTAATTGTGTAAGGAATATTTGCCGACTCCTGGGGAATCTTTCCCTCTAACTTCATTCATATCATTTTTATTGAATATCTGGTTTGGACTAAGAAAGTAGTAAGACTAATACTTACTTCTTTTTACTCAACCCAAAGCTGAAGGAGGGTTCATTTGAAGTTCTAGAGTTCATGCTTTGTTTTCCAAAATAATCTTCCTTTCGACCTCTCCTGTTATGGTTGACATAGGTTTTATACAACTCACTCAGCTTAAAGGGACTTTCCTGAGATGATTGCTTCCGAGTCATCATAGGTGAGTACTTCCCTCTCATAAGCTTTGGAGGATTTGTATAATGACTCAAATTAGCTAAACCAAGTTCAGAAATATTTTGATAAATTTGGCAAGGTTTAAAAACGGCAACTTTAGATACAAATTTAGGAGAAACTTGGAAAAGAATGATTACAATTTGGACCTTGAGATCTTCTCATTGGGCTGGATTCTGAGTCGTTCTGTAACTCTAGCTTTACTGCTGAGTACTTCTTATTTGCTTTTCTGATCTTATCTGCACTTTCATTATGTCTAAACCATATTGTCACTTGGGAGAAGTAACCAGTTTGAAAAATTCAGAACTTTTGAACTTATTATGTACAAAATCTCTAAATAAGCCCGTCTAAAATCCCTGAGCATAACTTTCATTAATGTGCCTCTCCATTATAACTCTTTTGTGAAATACCTACACATTTTTAGAAGGCTTCTCTACAGATGTAGAGGTTCGATCCTGGCTATTATTCATACCAGCAACATCTACATTGATCATTTTACCAGACATTTTGTGCCAAAGTTCTATTATTTTGCTAATTACTTTTATTTCTAGGGGTTTTGGGGTTTTGGGGTTTTGGGGTTTTGGGG